GACGTGTCGCTGGCAGATCGCTGTTACAGTATGAGTAAGCTTCTCTCTCTCTTCTTAAACCTAAGTTTAGGTATGGCTTAGAATCAAAAACCACGCGGCGACGGCGTATTGATTAGGTTTTTTAGATTCTGTGCTTGGCTGATAATTCAATTTAGCTTTCTGAAATTGCATTGGTGTTTAACTTTCGATGTTTTGGTTCCACTTATTGGTTGTGGTTTAGCATCAAAACCTCGTGTAGTATTGATTGTGAAGAGTTGGTGTGTAACCTTTTTCATTTCTCTTATTGGTTAATCAGTGAAGAGGCAAACACGGAGCTTGTTGTTGATCTTTCTGGGAAAGTCTCCTTACTCATGCATCCATCAAGGAAACCAATCTGGTCCTTTTCATCAGGATCACCCCTTCATTCCTCTTATCAGGCTCCTCTTAGTGTTGTGAACAACACAGGAAACGCTACTGAGATTAGTAAAGCTTTCGTTGTGGAGTATATAGACAACTCAGATGTTACCATGGTTGATGATGGCTATACTAGAAAGGTATGGAAACAAAAAATACTTTTGATAGTTTCATATGATCTTTTTTTTTAACATCATCTCTTTTTTTTTTTTTTTTTGAAAGAACTTTAGATTTATTCACTCCAAAAAAAACCTTTGTACAATAAAGCATCCTTTATGAAAAACATGAAACCTATACATTTAATGCAGACTATGGAGGACTTGATGAAGGAGATGCCACGTGTGAGTGATGATGGTCTGACTCTTGGCTCTAAAACATCCACCACCTATTTGGTTGATGGTTTATCAGGGAGGCTTATCCATGTTTATGGAACCACCCAGTCTTCCGGAGACAATAACAACAACACTAATGTCATGGTGAAGCCCACCAGCGCTGATAACTTGGCCAGCATACAGCTTCTTATCACGCGGACGGATTCCAAACTGGAGCATTTTGATAAGACCTCAGGGAAGCCTGTGTGGAACGTGACGGTTTCTCACTTCAGAGCTGACTTGCGTTGTGATCTCGCTTTCAATAAAGACAAAAATCTCGGTCCTGAAATATTCACTGGAATCTATATGCCCTTGCGATGTGGTGGTAATCACACTGAAATCCGTTCCCTTGTTAAATCAGGAGTTTATATTAGGATGCCTCGAGATCAGCAAGCGAAACCTGAAGGTGCATATGAAGCGAAAATGTTGCCCTCTACAGCAACCAGAGAATCAAGGAAGTTATGGGAACGTGATGTGTTTGGGAAAAACTCTGAGTGGTCGCGGGCAAAATTATTGGTCCCTTTATTTATTCTGGCTGCTGTTATCTCGGTTTTCGTGAAAGGATATTCAGGCGGTGAATTGAATTCAAAATCTGGACCTTCCAAAAAGAAGAAGAACCGTAAATCAGGGAAGGATAGGCATACAGAATTTGAGCTCATTGAAGGAGGTCAAATGTTGCTAGGCTTCAATAACCTTTTAAATGGTGCAGGTGATGGGCGAAAGATTGGTAAGTTGTTTGTGTCAAATAAAGAAATTGCAAAGGGAAGTAATGGGACTGTGGTGTTTGAGGGTGTTTATGAAGGCCGACCAGTAGCTGTAAAACGCCTTGTTCGATCCCATCATGAGGTTGCTTTCAAGGAGATTCAAAACCTCATTGCATCTGACCAACACTCAAACATAATTCGGTGGTATGGTGTGGAGTACGACCGAGATTTTGTTTACCTTTCTCTCGAGCGATGCACGTGCAGTTTAGATGATTTGATCAAAGCCTATTTAAATTTCTCAATGACAAAAGTATTGGAAAATAGCGAATCTACTGAAGCACTAGCTGCGTATGAGATCAAACTGGATTCTCTGGAGGGAGTTATGGAAGGAAACAGTCTGTGGAAAGTGGGAGGCCACCCGTCACCTCTCATGCTTAAATTAATGAGGTTAATTGGGCTTCATACTTTATGCATATGTCATAATATTCTTGGATTAAGAAATGTCTTATGTTTCATTTGAACATCAATAATACCAACCTTGTTTAGATGGTCTTGATAAGTCTAGGCTATGTGGTCTTATAAAATGTAGATTAGCTTAATCTTTTGTTTACTGATTTACATTCTGACACTTATATTCTTCATATTGTTTGTGTTTTCCTGCAGGGATATAGTATTTGGGCTTGCCCACTTGCATGAATTGGGAATAGTTCATCGCGACTTGAAACCACAAAATGTATTGATAAGTAAAGGGATGACTATGAGTGCAAAGCTTTCTGATATGGGCATTAGCAAGCGTCTAACTGGGGATATGTCATCATTGGGTCATTTTGCCACAGGTAAGCGTTTTTGTGTCCTTTTGTCTTTGTTTGTTACCCGTACTCTTGACGCAAGAGAAGAACTACATAGTGTGGCTTAGGTTGGCCAGGAAATGCTGGCTAGTGTAATGTGTAAATGGGGTGGATGATTGTTGGCTGAATATGTTGCTTATGAAACGATTTTCAAAACTACTTGTAATAAACGTTTCTGTTTAAAACCTGCAGGTTGTGGTAGTTCTGGTTGGCAAGCACCTGAACAGCTTCTTCAAGGTCGCCAAACTCGTGCTGTGGACATGTTTAGTTTAGGATGTATCCTCTTTTACTCCATAACTGGTTGTAAGCATCCCTTTGGAGAAGATCTTGAACGTGATGTCAATATCGTGAACAACAAAGTTGACTTATTTCTAGTCGCGCATGTTCCCGAAGCTTCGGACCTGATCTCTCGTTTACTGAATCCAAACCCCGATTTACGGTAATGACGTTTTCTTCTCTTCTTCAACGATGCCAAATTCACTCAACAAAAGTCAATTTCTTATGATATTTGCAGTCCGAGTGCAACTGAAGTGCTACTCCATCCCATGTTCTGGAACTCAGAGATGAGACTATCCTTTCTTCGGGATGCTAGTGACCGAGTAGAGCTTGAAAACAGAGAGGCTGATTCTGAGATCTTAAAAGCAATGGAGAATACAGCTGCAGTGGCTATAGGAGGGAAGTGGGATGAAAAGTTAGAACCTATCTTCATTACAAACATCGGAAGCTACAGGCGTTACAAATACGACAGTATTCGTGATCTGTTACGTGTCATCAGAAACAAATTGAATCATCACCGAGAACTTCCTTCAGAGATCCAGGTTTGTCTTCCTCAGAGACTGTTAACACACATGAGCTTAAACTAGTTATATTGAAACTCTTAATGTCGTAGGAACTTGTTGGAACTGTTCCAGAAGGATACGACCAGTACTTTTCTGTTCGGTTTCCGAAATTGCTGATTGAAGTATACAGAGTCATCTCTATGCACTGCAAGGAAGAAGAAGTATTCAGAAAGTACTTCAAATGCAACCACATATAAATAACCGGTTTGCTTATTTGTAATCCATGTTTGTTATTGTTATATAATATTACATAAATTAACTGCTATCTAAACCAATTGCAACATGCGTGACTAGTCTATGTATATATATCTCATGTAAAACGTCTGTTTCAATAAATATCTGTATTTCGTAAGTTCTGCATTTACAGCTGTTTAGATATATAACACCTTGCTTCATGCTCGTTGTAAGAAGGAGAAAGTTGGGAGAGCCAGGAGTTTAATGAGTGAGACGACGGAACCAGATGATGTGACTTTTAAACATCTTGATACCTGCTTAGTGCAACGAGAGGAAGTTGATTCAGTCAATAGTGCTTCTGGAGAAATGCATCAGTTTGGGTTTTGTTCCTGATATTGTCTCGGTAACTAAGGTGGTGGAAGTTCTCTGCCATGAAGGCCGTGTATCTGAGGCACTCAAGGTTCTAGAGTGGAAAGTAACATCGATATTGTATTTTGCAACACTTCGGTTAAGGGGTATTGTGCGCCAGGGAAAGTAAGAGTTGGTTCTAGGCTTCTTTAACGAGATCGAGAGTAAAGGCTACTTGCCCAATGTGGAAACATACAATTTCCTGATTCGTGGGTTTTGTGAAGTTCGAATGTTGGATTCAGCTCTTGACACTGTAAACAATATGAAAAGTGATTCGATTGGAAGGAACTTTGCTACATTTAATAAAGGGGCTCTCTCAGGAAGAGGGAGGACTAATGATGATGTAACGATACTAGAAGTTAGAACTGAAACTATGCAAGACAGTGAAACCACTCATGGTGCCAGAATCATCCTTACATTAGTGGTATCTATGCCTTTTACAAGGAAAGCTGTTAGGAGGATAGCTCTTGCATTCCTGCATAAGATGGATAAACTGTTTCCAAGGGCTGTTGAGAGGCATTAAGTTGACAAATTTATGCAAGGAAGGTGGAGGATGTAAGAATACATGGAAGAAACGCTTGAGCTTATAACCGATTTGGTGACAGCAGGTTGCTTTCCTCATTCGTCAACATTCAATGCTGTCGTTCTCGGGTTCTGTAAGCAAGACTACCATGAATGGCATAAAATTTTTGGAATACATGGCTAAGGGAGGTCAAAGATGGTTATTTTGAAAATCTGTTAGAAGCGAAGAGCTTTTGGAGAAGAGGAGATAACAGAACCAGAGCCAAAAACAATACATTCGGTTTGTCAAATATTGAATCCAAACAAAATATTTAACCGGTTAACAGACTCTTTTACATAGTATGAACTTATCTTTTAGATTAATTAAAACATTGAATCAAAAAAAAATTCAAATTAAAGACCAATCCGAACGAAACCAAATAGTTGTACCTACTTGGTTTCCATTTCTATAAAATGGATAAAACCAAAAAATGGAAACTATAAACCAGTGCCCAAATACCTAGAGCTCACTTGCAGGCTCCAAACCATGATAATGTAATGGAACAACTTTGAGATGAGAAAATACCATTTTCTGGAGAGTAACATTAATCAGCGTTATGAAACTCACCCCATCAAAACAAACAGAACAAAAAAAAGCATGAATGCTTCTGTCCATGAATAGACTCCAACAAAAAGGACAAAAGCACAACAAATAGACAAGATGGTATGTACGACCCATCTCAGTAAATAGATTCTGTCCCAACCAAACGTTCGATCAAAATTTCCGTGGAAAATGATCCTACACAAGAGTCAAACAACAATATACCATTACCAGAAGAGAGCACAACAAGTTGACAAAAGTCAAAGAGAAGTCAACAATACCATAAGTAGAAGTCAAACGCTTAGACTAAATCCATAGTACAACTGAGCTAAAGACAAAGAAGAGAAGCAAATAAGGTTCTTAATATTACAAACACACAGAGCATAACCAGTTTTTTCAGTTTTAAGGTCACAACATCTAATTAAATTTTGCTAATTCCATCCTCAAATCTGAGTCAGTCAATGGCAACAACTAGAACCCTCCTTAATCGTCGTCTTCTTCCTCCTGCAAAAATTAAAAACAGAGTCCAAAATGTCAAATACATGTAAACACATATCAATACAAAAGAGTTTCTAAAAGTCTTGAAACAAAACCTCCTCGCTTCCTCCAGCTTCGTCCACTTCAGACTTGGATTCTTCATCTTCACCTCGGTTGGTTCCACTAGCCTAAACACACAGTAACACACCACATAAGAACACCACACTCTCTCTCTAGAGAAAGTGAAAGCTAATCAGTGAGAGAGTATTATTTATACCAGTCCCATGTTGTACTGTTGCATACTCTTGACATACTCACTCTTCCTGCTCTCCGCCTTGGAAGCGTAAGGAGCTTTCTCCTTCATCACAGATTCAACAACAAAAGAATCTTTCAGTTACAAATCCACAAGGACCAATCAAACAATATCAATACTCACTTCCTCACTCATAGACTTCCACTTAACTCCAGCAGCCTTACCAACCTGAGAGAGAGAGAGAGAGATATGATTATTATAAGTTTTACAGATCTGAGAATGTGGAAAACTCTAAAGATTTTGTGATATTATTACTTACGGCGGCGACGGACTTGTTGTTAGGGTTCGCCGCGTTGAACTCTCGTCGGAAATCATCTCTGTGACCGAAACTTAATCAGTTTAAAATTGAAAATTAGTGAGGAGATGTGAAGAGGTTAATGTGAGGTTTTTACAGGAAGACGAAGAAGGCGCTTGGAGGTCTCTTAGGTTTGTTTGGGTCTTTCGTCGGCGTCTTCTTCTTCCTTCCTCTGGTTTTGAGTCTGTTGGAAAAATTGAAATTAATAAAAAATTAGAGGTGAGAGAGGTTCTGCAGATCTCAGATTAAGAAAAAGCAAGAGACGGAGAGAGAGACCTCTGATCGGTGCTCGTCGCTTCGGATTTGGTTTGACCGCCTTTCATCTCGAGTTCTGGGTCAGGGTAAGAATCGTTTGAGACTCTAACTGAGTCGGTAGGAGCGAGTTGTTTACCTTGATTTTTTTTTTTTTTTTGGTGTTTCCTTGTAGATGCGGTATAAACTAAAAAACAAAATTGGATTTTAAAATAAAAGTAGATTGAAATTCGCACTGTGGCGGGATTTTAATATTGCCACGTTGATGAAGGAGAACAACGGACGGAATCTTGATTGTGCTATTTCCATCTTGACCGTCTATCATACATGATCTGTCAATCATTAACCACAAAGGAACAATGTTCTATATCTTAGAGCATCTCCTATGCCTCTATATTTTACTCATGGATTTGCTCTAATATATTTCTCTATAATAAAGTTTTTCTATTTTAGAGAAAAATATAGAGTAATGTTAGTTTTTACCTCTATATTTAAAGGTGAAAATAACATATTTATATATTTTCCCCTATAAATAGAGGAACTCTATTATAAAAACACACATTAGAGCAAATCCACATCTATAATAAAAATTTTCTATTTTAGAGAAAATTATAGAGATAAAAATAAAGATGGATTGGAGATAAGTCTGCAACTAAACATCAAATTTAGAGTTAAAATTATAACAAATTTGGTGTTATAATTTTTTTGTCATCTTTAGCAATAACATAAAATTTATTATTACCAAAATAATATTATTTGATGTTCTCAGTTTAATTTTATTTTTATTTTTATTATTTGTAAATAATAAATAGTTATCACATTTAGATTATTATTTATATTTTATTATTTGTAAATGATAAATGATAATAGTTATTTAGTAATTTAGTATGTTTAATTATGTGAAACTAAATTAAAAAAATAATACGATATATTTATGGTTAATTACAAATTTGATAATAATTAAACTATATTATTAAATGAAATATCTACTTATATAAAGCAGACTTTTGGTCCCTCAAATTCATCCACGTCAGATGATATGTTATCTGCATACTGACCCGTGTCCAATTGGACTTTATTATTTTTCTTGGTCCAAACTTTGTATAGCCCAAAGCTGTCCAGAAGTGGATCTGTCATTCATCTCTCGGCCTCTTGCAAAGTTAGGATTTTGCGGTTGAAGCTGCCATAGATTTTTCTCTAAACTTCTTTCATCGTGTCGATCTGATTTTTAGGGTTCATCCCATTCTTCGTTTTCTGCCATTCGGGAGACTGTCTTGCTTAATTGGTGTAATGATTCCATTCGTTGGGATTTCTATTACGTCCCTTGGCTTTTTTTCTTTCCATCAATCAAACTAATCCACTTACAAATCCATCGTATTAATCATGTTCTTAATTCTTTTGCCACTGCCTTAAATTCAATGTGTGGTTATCTTCTCAGGGTCAATGTATCTGCACGTAAAAAAATGTATGTGTTTCCCCTCTGAAACCCATCTTCATATTTTCCCCTCAATCATTATAAGCTCTCTCTTTCTATTTTGATGATTTATTTTTCATTCTTTTGTTGATCTGCTATATTCCATGGATCATTTTGTCTGCAATGCATCTCTAATCTCTTTTGATGTATGTTCCCAGAATATCTCAGAGATCTCTCGCAGTTGCTGGGGTTGGAGAGTCTTATGGTCCTGCAACGACAAGCTAAGGCTCGCTTTTATCTGTGATGGGAAACCAAAGGTATCGAGTTTAAGAAGTGGAGGCGGTGATGCCGTGCAGAAGCTCCGCCAGTGGAATCTGAGGACGAGCCAAGCTTCTGTTAACAAACCTGGAGATGAGCCCACGAGGATCACTGGCGTCAAGAGATATAGTAACGAAGGATGTGCGGATGGAGATTCGCGGAAACTGAAATTCTCTGTTTCTTTCTTGAGGGAAGAAAACTTAAAAGATTTCACAGCCTTCGTTAGGAAAAAACCTCCTAGAAGACCAAAGAAGAGACAATAACTGTTCAGAATCAAATGAATGTAAGTTTCCATCTTATTTTGTTTCTTAGCATTTTTATTCTTGGTTGGTGACTCTTTTCACCGGATTGTGGCTAGCAGAGGAAGTAACAACAGCCTCTTATGATTTATGACGTTCCAGAGGCTGCAGAAACATGATCAAAGGTGTTCTTCCTTGGTTTTTCAGTTTAGTGTCCACAAAATTCATGTTTCTTTAACTTACTGTTCTACTTTTGAATCTTTTGAGTGTAAAAAAGAAGAACAAATATAGCATTGTGCCAATTTTAGTGAATGAAACTATTTTACTTATGTTTCCTAATAGTCTTTTTTTTTTGTAAGAAAAAACGAATGGAGTTTTTATTACCAGAGCTAACCGGAAATCTCCAACTGTTTTTTTATATTAATAAAAAAGCTCTCTGTAACTTTCTTACATTTATGTTCCTTATTTAGTTTTTGGCTGGCTACTATATATGTTGCTAACATTATGCACAATTTTATTGTGGCATCAAAGATATAAAGAGATCATGATGCTGATATCGCTCAAGGTTGGTCCCTGGATTACTTTTACGGTTTTCCCAATGGCAATTTACATGTTTGCTACATATGAAACAGGAGAAACGCAAATAATTCTCACGTTTGATTTTTCAACAAAAAAATCTCAGCCTTCACTGTTAAGAGAAGCTTTTGGTGTTATTATAACTGTATAATACTTCAAAAACTGAAATATGGGTGACAAAAAGAATGAGGAGACCAATGTAGTGTCGTGGAGTAAGGTCAAAGCATTGAATTTGAGCTATGGTCTTCAAATCTCCCATCTTCCTGGACCCCGAGAAGGGAGAAGAGAGTTGTAGTATGTTATGTGAGATGGAATGACTATGTGTCTATCTTTGTTAGGGTCTCTCTCATATGGTTGTTTTTGTTAGGACCACTCAAATATTATCAGTAAAAAGTGGATAGATAAATTAGCATAAGATATTTTCTTAGACAATGGGATAGTGGATCTACGCTTAAAAGGTTCAGTCTTTGTTGGACGAAGCAACATCAGAACGAACTCAGTTACGAGATTATGTCGTACGTACATCAAAATGTCCAACTATGACTATGTATTCAAGCTAAAGCATCTCCTTTGTCTATGTTCTCGACTTCTCTTTATATCACATAAGTTGTCTAGCTGGGAGTACTTAAAAATTAAAGACTGTACACTTTTCAGCAGTGATTATATTTCAAAATGCCTTAGACTATTTACGACGTTATAGTTCATCAACGTGAAACATATAAGGAAGGATCTATAATAGTAATCAGCGATAGTTCAAATACGGAATCAATATTCGACATGATGAATTTCTCTAATATTTTGGTTTGGCTATTTTAAAGCTTGGTTTAGTTGTTTTGTCATTGTGAAAAAGTTTTGCCATTTACCGCAAATCTATAAAAATAAAACTTCATCTTCCTCAATCTCTCTCTATAAAACTGTTTTTTATCATTACCATAAAATCTTAGATTATTCAAAGTGTATTGTAATGGTCTCCTGGTTGTTAAAAAAAATTGTAATAGTCTCCAGTTTATATTTCAAATAGCATAATTAATAAAATTCAACTAATTTCTCTTCTACGGCAATTTCAAAATCAGATTTTCAAACTAATTAAGAAAACAACAAAACGTAAATTGTAGTCAATGGAAAGTTATAAAAACCAACATAATACATCATATTCAATTTATGGCAATGGATTTTTCTAAAAACCAACATAATACATTTAAAATTCTTCACTTAATTCCACAAACACCAAAACTCTAGATTGTAAATCCTACAATTGCATCATACATATACACCATGTCCCAATCAAATATCGTATTTACACATCCCGACAACTAACACACAACCTCACAAATAATACAAACAAAATATCATATTCTATGCGTAGCGCAAGTTTCCCAGTGATAGTCTTCATCCCCCAGAGATTGAGTGTTTTTTTTCTTCACTTGAGTAGAATATAATTTAAGTAGAGTATGTATCTTCATCCAATTTTTACCAAAAAAAAAAGTTATCTTCATCCTCTTTGTTTTATATTTCGAGATTCATAACTGCATGTTTCATGTAACTACAACAACCATTTGAAACCACAATTTTTTTAACAAAACTTATGTGAACTATTGTTACAGTTAAACTAGAAAAAAATGAGAGAAACTAAAAAATATCACTAAAAGTTTATAATAATTAGATAAGTATATAATATCTAAATAAATAAGTAAGATAAATAGATAATTTTTGAAGTTAATGCTATTTTTAGTTAATAGTAAATCAAACATTTTTAAAAATATATTATGAATTTATTTACTTGCCCGTTCATAGGACGGATTTACCCTAGTAATACATATTTTAAAGGTTTAGTGTGATGAATAGTATTACTCCAAATTAGGTGGGATAATATCAATTTTGTTTTCTTTTTTGTAACTAGCCTTCTTAAAATAAATGCAAAAGAAAGAAAATGATACAAGAGTCCTAAGTCTCTAGTACAGAGCCAAAGCCCATTTAGAAACACATACAATTAACCCATTACCTATTACCCATTACCTAGTTAAGCCCAAATAAAGTAGCCTGAATCAGAAAAAGAAATGAAGAGAAATTGAAAGTTTGTCGATCAAGTTTGTCGGAGAAACCAAGGCACCGTATTACCCATTACCATAGTTGCATCATCTCTGATGATGTTCTAGGGCTAGTTTCCCTATAGCTCTGTTGTTTGTTTCTAATCTGATGATCAATAATTGAGAAGATCGAGTCCACTGACCGAAATTGGATTGTATGCGGCGATTATTTCTCTCGTTCCAGATCCAATACATAGCTGCTTGCCACCCTAGTATAGCCAGAGTGTTACCAGAGGGCCCCTGCGAAAGCGATAACATCTGAATTAGGGAGTTTTCCCATCCTCTGATAGGTGTGATTCTACATCTCCCAACAACTAGTCTCCATATATCGAACACGAACGTGAAATCCCAGAATAGATGATTTCTCGATTCATCAGCTTGGTTACAAAGCAGACAGACAGATGGAGACTGGAGTCCCCAAGAGATCAGTCTGTTGCGTGTTGGGATTCTGTCAAGAATTACTAGCCAACCATGAAAACTCTGCCTTGGAATACAACGGGAGTGCCAGATGACCTTTGCTCAGTTT